ACAAAAAAAAAAAAAGAAGCACAATCGGAGCAGAATAGGGTAGAATCAGAGCAGGATAGGGTAGAATCAGATCAAGAAAAAAAAAAGGAGAATAAGCAGAATCGGTGAAGGAGCATAAGACAGAAGAAAAAAAAATAGAAGAGAGAAGAAGAAGAGACTAACCTCCACAGTCCCAGTCCAGCAGCAACGATGGTGTAGAAGTAGCGAAAAACTCGAAGCCTTGGAGTGTAGCAGTGGAGAACAACACCAATCGTGTNGCCTTTAACGCACTACACATCAAATTTAGTTCAATATTTATATTTAGTGCGTGAAAAACGTTATATTTAAACGTCTTTTAAAAATGACTAAATTTAAANAGAGACTAACCTCCACAGTCCCAGTCCAGCAGCAACGATGGTGTAGAAGTAGCGAAAAACTCGAAGCCTTGGAGTGTAGCAGTGGAGAACAACACCAATCGTGTAGCAGTGGAGAGCAGCACCGATCGATCGTGTAGCAGTGGAGAGGCAGCACCGATTGAAGCTATCTGAGAAAAAATGAGACAAAATTAGGTTAGGAGTTTTATTTATAGGATAAGGGAATAGTTCGGTACATTNTAATCCTCTGCCCAATTTTTCTTGTATTTTCTATAGAATACCTACGAAGCATTATAGAGAGTTTACTAATCCAATGATGTAAAGGGACTAATGGGAAAAAAAAATAGTAAAAAATTGATAAGTAAAGCCTTATTAATGCTATCAAATTATGTAAAGTAAAGGCACACCATTATACCAATAAATTATATTAGAAATTTAGATTCAAATAACATTGTTCCATTATTCGAAACACGGGCCTAATCACCTATAATGATCATATCATGTGAGAGTGAGATGCCATCAAAGCTTAATTAAATTGTATTTCGGACTGGAGTTTCATTCACAATTTTTTTTTTGTCTAGGCTTACATATGGTTTTAACTCCTTACATTTTTATGGGATCTTCATATGGATTGGAGTTTGGACAACAACATAAGGAAAAAGCAAAAAAAAAAAAAAAACAGAAGCATAATGACAAAAAAAAAAAAAGAAGCACAATCGGAGCAGAATAGGGTAGAATCAGAGCAGGATAGGGTAGAATCAGATCAAGAAAAAAAAAAGGAGAATAAGCAGAATCGGTGAAGGAGCATAAGACAGAAGAAAAAAAAATAGAAGAGAGAAGAAGAAGAGACTAACCTCCACAGTCCCAGTCCAGCAGCAACGATGGTGTAGAAGTAGCGAAAAACTCGAAGCCTTGGAGTGTAGCAGTGGAGAACAACACCAATCGCGAAGCAGTGGAGAGCAGCACCGATCGATCGTGTAGCAGTGGAGAGGCAGCACCGATTGAAGCTATCTGAGAAAAAATGAGACAAAATTAGGTTAGGAGTTTTATTTATAGGATAAGGGAATAGTTCGGTACATTAACATCTTAAAATTTTTTTTGCAATCGCCCAATCCAACGGTCTAAATTAAAAATAAAATATTTCGCCTCTTATAACAAAAGCGATCGCTTTTTCGCTTCTTCGTTTTTTCTCGCTTTTTTCTCGCCTTGCTCACATTCGTTTCGTCTGGGGTCCTCCAGGCGAGCTAGTCTCGCTTCGCCTCGCTTCTCGCCTAGGCACGTTTTTCATAACACTGGGCAATGGAATATCTGACGGTGAACNCTTTTTCGCTTCTTCGTTTTTTCTCGCTTTTTTCTCGCCTTGCTCACATTCGTTTCGCCTGGGGTCCTCCAGGCGAGCTAGTCTCGCCTCGCCTCGCTTCTCGCCTAGGCACGTTTTTCATAACACTGGGCAATGGAATATCTGACGGTGAACGAAGAGATAGTAGTATAAGAGACGACCCAAAGTCCAGATCCAAAGGTTGAGCAGGTACCTGAATATATGAAACAGATTCCTCAAACGTGACATCGGTACTACTAAAGTATCGTTGTAGGGAAGGACTATAGCAATGATACCTTTTTTGTGTGCGAGAGTATCCAAGAAATACACATTGGGTAGTCCGAAGGTCAAGTTTATTAAATTCAGGACCCAAGTTGTGAACATAACAGGCACACTTGAAAACCTTAGGAGTTAAGGAGAATAAGGACTTATTAGGGAAACTGACAGAATATGGGCTTTGTCCATTTAACACAAAGGATGACATACGATTAATAAGATGACAAACAGTGAATGTTCATCTGGAATAACAGTGCATAGGTGACTTCCAACAAATAATGGTTTTTGCGTTCAGCAACACCATTATGTGGAGAAGTGTAAGTACAAAAGTCTGATAGATAATGTCAGTTTTACTAAGATAAGTTAAAAAATGATCAGATTCATATTCCTGAGCATTATCGGAACATAAAATACGTATATGACAATCATACTGAGTTTTTATTTCCTTGGAAAAGGTCTCAAATATAGAGAATAATTCAGAACGAGCTTTCATCAAAATTAACCATATCACCTGAGAATAATCATCCACAAATGACACAAAATAAAGATATTTATTAATGAAATATTATTTATTGGACCTCATACATCAAAATGTACCAACTCAAATGGACACACGATTATTGACTCTAGATTGAAAGGACACATGGTAATGCTTACTAAGTTGACAAGCTTCACAAGACACAGACTAGACCGGTTCAAGACCAGTTTGGTCCATTCTAAAACCGGTTTAGGTAGTTTTGCACCGGCTCAGACTGGCTCCTTCTGTTGTTGGTCTGGTTCAACGGTCCAGCCTATTTCTCCAATCCGGTTCAGACCGGTTTTATCGACTTTTACGGTGGTTCAATGGTTTAGTGAGCTTAGCCTGTACGGTTCAGCGATCCAGTTCGTTTTTCTTGTCCGGTCCAGCAAGGTCTTCCAGTTCGGTTTAGCGGTTCAGCAAGGTCCTCCAATTCGGTTCAGCGATCCAGTGGTCATATTTTGTCTCAGTTGCAGTTGTTTATGGACCCTTAATTGTTGTCAAGGTTCAAAGTATTTGCCAATACTGATATGAGGTAGACCGAGTTGTATCCTTAACCACGAGTCGTCAAGTTATCGTCACTGATACTGTTCTGTGATGCTACAATATGACTTGAATTTTTTGTTATGTTCAACTTCTTCTTTGAGGTTGCATAGCGTGATATTACACGACATTGCGTCTGATATGTCTCAGAGCCCTCCGAGTCGGTAGACGATACCGCGACCTCAAACTATGATTTGCTATTGTGGCAATAGCCTAAAATATTTTCTCTTTTGGGTAGTGTAGTAACCTAATCATTTCCCGGTAAGCCTCGTCGACTGTTTTTCAGTGGAATTATATCACTGCGTTGTTGAGCTTCATGAATGCTTCTATGCTATTCATTGACGTGTTATTAGCCACTTAAGTACTGTTGAGTGTTGCCTTTTAGAAAGTCCGATTATTCATGTGAGCTTCCTCAACTTTTTTAGTTGTGATCAAGCTTGTTTTTATTATGGACAGAACTCACTTTATATAACTGTGGCTTTTCTTTCTCTTTGCAGGAGATGTATACTCAAGTCGGGCCACAGTTCCGTGATGAACTTCAGCGTCATCATCTTCCTACATCGATGGTGATTATATAACTACATCATTTTTGGGGCTTATGTCCCTTGAAGCCTAATTGACTTGTTGAAGTTGAAATATCTCAACTGATATTTTATTTGCAGGTAAGGGATATAAATGCCAGGTTGGAGAGGATTGAGCCAAAGGTTTGCTCTGCAGATGGACTTGGGAGCAAGTTTCCTGCTGGTGAGATTAAGACTGCCAATTTTAATCCCAAAAGAAGCAGCCCAAAGGCCAAGAGTTCCATGCGTGATGCGTCTCTGTTTGGAGGTCAGTGTATGGTGCTCTTAGCCTCATAGTCATTTGATATTTCGTCACATTTACAATCATGTGAGAGGTTCTCCAAAGCCTTATGGTGTCATTGTTGACCAATACCTTGTTAACATATGTGAAATTATATAGATACTGCTAACTTCTTGGATGTATGCCAGTTACTATAAGTTGGTTGAGTGTGCCTTGGCCGTTATTTCTTTGTTTTGACGATATTTCATTGGCGTGGCCATATTCATGCTTTGGAATGTTTCCATAAATTTTTGTGTAAGAGTTTCAAACTTCAAAGGTATAGTTCTTGGAATATTTCAAAATTGTGAACATTGTCTCTGCACTGCACCTTAAAGTTACCCAGAACGTTGTGGTATTGTGATACAGCTCTAATTCCTGGTCAGATGCTGTAGGTGATGAGGTTTTCATACTTTATTATGGTTGTAACCCCTGGCTACAACTTTGGTTTTAATCAGCCGAGACACCTAATTAATGTTGGTGTAAATCCAGAGAGTCATATGTTGTTCTGATTAACAGCCATGAGATCTTTTGAACCTTTAATTGTTTGCTCTCCAAAATCTATGAAGCTTAGAGTATGTTGGATTTCAGCTTTCAGAAGGCTCTTTACTTTTACGGTAGTCTGTGGAAACATATTGTTGTGGTCAGGTCCACGTGACAGATCAAAACTAAGAAAAAAAGGTCTCGGTGCATCTGTAGCCTTACAGAGGAGCCATACCCAGAGTGTGGAAACCTTTTAATTTTCTCCTTTCTGTATACAAATATTTGCATAATTAGATCACACTGCTTGGACTCATGAGGTGGTGCATTCTTATATGCTTTTCCTTTATTTTGTTTCGACATGAGAAACTTTCAGTGGGATTCACTGAGCAGTAGACAATTCTCAGTAACTCATGGAGATTGCGACATGTTTTCATATATATGCATGGATGTTACTTGTCAAAGAAAAGGGCATTTGTGTTTTGTGTGTAGATATCTAACTATTTGCCTTTGGAAATCGCAAGTAAAAGCACAAACTTTTAGTTGGTGATTAGAATTATGTATATTTGGTGAAATAATTTGGCTACTTAGCAACATATGTTGGAATGATTTGTTTGATGAATATAAGCAATACTGTGATCGTGAACATTGTTGATGTTCACTTCACTTTTGTGTTTTACTGTTGTGCAGGAGAGGGTGATGCCACAGACAAACCCATCGACCCTATTAAAGTGTATTCAGAGAAGGAGCTAATAAGGGAATTTGAGAAGATTGCTTTAACGCTTGTACCTGAGAAAGATTGGTCTATCCGCACCGGAGCAATGCAGAAAATTGAAGCCCTTGTTATTGGAGGTTTGGAATTTGGATTCCTCTCTATTCCTGCTCGATTTAAACTATTGTAAAGTTCTCATTTATATATTGCATGACAGATGGGATGATCTTTAATGCATAATGACATTGACAGAAATAAACTTGGTTGAATAGTGTTGTGGATTCATGGTACATGTTAAGCATTTTTGGTGATTGCCACTTTGCCAGTAGTTGGAACTTGGAAGAATTATATTTGATTTATGCGTATATGCTAGTGTGGAAGAAGTATTGGAGAATAAGTGCAGCTATAATGTCTTCTTTGGATGTTCTGAGTAATTGTCATTAAACTTCAACCTGCCCACATCATTTGCTACCTGGTCTTTCAGGATGCTTATGTCCTTGTTGTATGTGGGGACAAGCATGCAAGATTGATATTATTTTCCAAACTTGAGTGCTTAGTTTTTAAATCAGTGGATTCGTGTAATCCTCTATAAATGTAAAGTAGATTTATGTAAGAGAAGAAGACTATTATCTCTCTGTTAGCTTTTTAGATTTTGGTTGGTTGGTGAGGAGATTCAGGGTTCTTTTTTTGTTAGAATATATCACAGGGCTAATGAACATGCTTTGGGTTTGCGGCATCTTAGTTGAGGAGAAATATGAATAAGCATTCATTGTCTATTTCATCCCAACATGCTTTGGAATTGTGGCATCCTAGTTGAGGAAAAATATGTCTAATCATTCATCTTCTATGTCATCCCATCAGGTGCAGCTGATTATGCATGTTTTCGTGGACTACTTAAGCAACTTGTTGGCCCTTTAAGTACACAATTATCTGATCGAAGATCCAGCATAGTGAAGCAGGTGCAGTGCATTTCTTGGACTTCCAAATGTTTGTTCAAAAGATTTTTTTTTAGTCATCAGCAATAGACTTCCACTATAATAGGGAAGCATTTCATGATCCAGCTTCTTTTGTGCCTTGGCTTTCTAATTTAATTGGGTCCTTTCAGTAAATTTCACTATACAGGATGGTTTTGGATTTTGTTGTTGGTAAACTTCCGTGTGGACAGTTTAGGTAGGGCACATAGCCTTAAGCTGCAGTAGTGTTCTGATTGTTTCTTTGCCTCTTTGCTGGTGTAATCCTATTCCAAATATTTCTTAGTCTGGGATAAGAATTTCCTTGGAAAAATCAGAGAGATTAATACACATTACACACCCTTGAAAACCGGACTGATGGGGAAAGTTTTAACTTTGAGAGAATTGTAAGGGCAATATCCATGAATGCTTTGATGCAAAGCACCCAGATCAAAATCTAATATGAGTAAGTTTGATTACTAATGCTACGACTTATATATTTTGAAATGGCATTTCCAACTCCTTTCATGATTCGTGTTCCTGTTCTATGAACTCACCTTTTTCCCACATAAGAACCCAGTTGGAGTTTTGGACATCCGAGGGTGGACTTATCAGAGTTGGGGGACCTTCTATGCTGGGATGAAATTATGTTGGATATGATGACCGTCTATCAAACTGTTTTTGGACAAAAAAAGTTAATTGGGGGAAGAGAGAACCTGTGTAAAAGAACCCAAGTTTTGAATGAATGGTTATTTGCATAATACATTGTCAGTAATGTGAGACTTGCCAGAGAACAGTGTTCATTTTCTCTTAGGTGGTGTGGCACTGGTTATGCCAGAGATTATTCGAGACATTCTATTTGCTTGGACAAGAGGGTTTGTTTGTTGAGGTATTTGGAAAATTTGGGATGCTGCATGATGTGCCTCATGTGGAATTCAGGGAAAGAAGCATAGGCAATCTTTTGAGGGTGCGGAGATCAAGGCCCATAAGTGAAGCCCCTGATGCCGATGCTTTATTTGTTTAGTTGAATGAAGTTTCTATTGAATCTTTCACAGATTTTTCAGGCTGTGTCCTTTTTTAGATGACTATTGTGGTTTTTTTGTACTTTCCTGTGCACATTGGCGGTGCCATTTTTTGGAGCCCCTTGGTGGATTTTAGCTAGTGAATATGTAAAAGACGAAGTATACTTGCTTCAATATATTAATGAGTGCACATGCACGTTGGTGGATTTTAGCTAGTGAATATGTAAAAGACGAAGTATACTTGCTTCAATATATTAATGAGTGCACATGCACGCATGTGCAAATTCTATTTACATTCTTCAAACTGTTGAACATCCCAATCAGGCAAGCTCATGGATTGACGCTACATTACTTAGGCCTTGAGGATTTGCTTGTAAAGCACAAGAAAGTTCAGTGACAAGTGGTAGTACTCTTCTTTTTTCTGTGGGGTTGTGCTTGAAGATCATAGAAACGAATTATCTGATTCATTAATTTGATATGAAGTCTAGATCATTNATTATGCATGTTTTCGTGGACTACTTAAGCAACTTGTTGGCCCTTTAAGTACACAATTATCTGATCGAAGATCCAGCATAGTGAAGCAGGTGCAGTGCATTTCTTGGACTTCCAAATGTTTGTTCAAAAGATTTTTTTTTAGTCATCAGCAATAGACTTCCACTATAATAGGGAAGCATTTCATGATCCAGCTTCTTTTGTGCCTTGGCTTTCTAATTTAATTGGGTCCTTTCAGTAAATTTCACTATACAGGATGGTTTTGGATTTTGTTGTTGGTAAACTTCCGTGTGGACAGTTTAGGTAGGGCACATAGCCTTAAGCTGCAGTAGTGTTCTGATTGTTTCTTTGCCTCTTTGCTGGTGTAATCCTATTCCAAATATTTCTTAGTCTGGGATAAGAATTTCCTTGGAAAAATCAGAGAGATTAATACACATTACACACCCTTGAAAACCGGACTGATGGGGAAAGTTTTAACTTTGAGAGAATTGTAAGGGCAATATCCATGAATGCTTTGATGCAAAGCACCCAGATCAAAATCTAATATGAGTAAGTTTGATTACTAATGCTACGACTTATATATTTTGAAATGGCATTTCCAACTCCTTTCATGATTCGTGTTCCTGTTCTATGAACTCACCTTTTTCCCACATAAGAACCCAGTTGGAGTTTTGGACATCCGAGGGTGGACTTATCAGAGTTGGGGGACCTTCTATGCTGGGATGAAATTATGTTGGATATGATGACCGTCTATCAAACTGTTTTTGGACAAAAAAAGTTAATTGGGGGAAGAGAGAACCTGTGTAAAAGAACCCAAGTTTTGAATGAATGGTTATTTGCATAATACATTGTCAGTAATGTGAGACTTGCCAGAGAACAGTGTTCATTTTCTCTTAGGTGGTGTGGCACTGGTTATGCCAGAGATTATTCGAGACATTCTATTTGCTTGGACAAGAGGGTTTGTTTGTTGAGGTATTTGGAAAATTTGGGATGCTGCATGATGTGCCTCATGTGGAATTCAGGGAAAGAAGCATAGGCAATCTTTTGAGGGTGCGGAGATCAAGGCCCATAAGTGAAGCCCCTGATGCCGATGCTTTATTTGTTTAGTTGAATGAAGTTTCTATTGAATCTTTCACAGATTTTTCAGGCTGTGTCCTTTTTTAGATGACTATTGTGGTTTTTTTGTACTTTCCTGTGCACATTGGCGGTGCCATTTTTTGGAGCCCCTTGGTGGATTTTAGCTAGTGAATATGTAAAAGACGAAGTATACTTGCTTCAATATATTAATGAGTGCACATGCACGTTGGTGGATTTTAGCTAGTGAATATGTAAAAGACGAAGTATACTTGCTTCAATATATTAATGAGTGCACATGCACGCATGTGCAAATTCTATTTACATTCTTCAAACTGTTGAACATCCCAATCAGGCAAGCTCATGGATTGACGCTACATTACTTAGGCCTTGAGGATTTGCTTGTAAAGCACAAGAAAGTTCAGTGACAAGTGGTAGTACTCTTCTTTTTTCTGTGGGGTTGTGCTTGAAGATCATAGAAACGAATTATCTGATTCATTAATTTGATATGAAGTCTAGATCATTTTTTATGTTTCTTATTCAGTCAACATGCACCTCTTTTTGAGTAGTTCTACTTTCCCCATTTTCTTAGGCTTGCCACTTGTTGAATTTTCTTTCGAAAGAGCTTTTGGGAGACTTTGAATCATGTGCTGAGAGGTTCATTCCAGTAAGTACTATTTTGTGCTGCTTATTTGGTCCTAGTATGCTCCAAAGTCTCACTGACTCTATGTACGACCTGCAGGCCCTTTTCAAGCTTGTTGTGATAACGGTACTTGTAATTGCAGACTCTGCAGATACTTGCATAAAAACGGTAATGTCAACGTCTTTCTATATTAGGCACTTATTTTTTTCTTCTTTGTCAACATCTGCCTTCCATTTATAATTTTGACTTCCAGATGTTGCGTAACTGCAAAGTTGACCGTGTACTTCCTCACATAGCAGATTGTGCAAAAACTGACCATAATGCTGTACTTCGTGCAAGGTTTCATTTGGTCTTATCTTTTAGTTATTATTAACTGTGTCAATGTTTCAGTCACTCAATCTTTCTTTATTTTACTGCAGGTGTTGTGAGTATGCACTTTTGATGCTAGAATATTGGGCTGATGCACCCGAAGTACATCGTTCAGCTGATTTATATGAAGACCTTATTAAGTGTTGTGTGGGAGACGCAATGAGTGAGGTATAGACAGTGGGACTATTTTTTGGCGACCTCAAGTCAGGGGCAAATTTCCGGCCTTTAGACATGCATGTTAATTATCATCATGATTAAACTTCCATGGGTATCGATTGTCGCGTTTACAGGGTTTACTTTAGCTTGTGTTCCTCAATTAGGTAGTTATGCTAATTTCTAGCATTCAATTCGACATTGATTTCTTTACACACTTCCCGGGAAAATATTAACCTCTTCATACTTGCAATTTTAGTCTCGTAAGGGTGTTTTCTTATTTTATGATCAATTGGGAAGTCATGTTAATTTTCTTTTCTTTCTGAACTTGATGCCATTTGTTTGGTTGTCTAAACTCAGAAAGTATGGATTTGTTTCTTTTGAACAAAACCATTTTTTCTGATAAGATTTTTCTAATAAAACCTGAATGGTCATAATTTATTTGTCGAGAATATGGTGTATAAATGAACAAAAGTAGATGTTTTTGTTGGGAGTTTTTTGAGTATGCGTACTGATGTAGGACCTAATTGGATATTTTTTTCTGTGCCTTCTTCCTAACTTTTTTGCCAATCATTTCCTTATTATAGATTTACCCACTTCTTTATCTCAAAAATCTAAATTAACATAATTGTTTGTGTGTGATGTGTCGTAGTTTCTGTTGAAACTTGAAAAGTGGATTCACTTTGGCACTGAAAACTCTAAGGGACTTCCGGACCAATGTTTACATGATTGTGGGTCGATTTGGTTTGTGGTATGGATTTGTGTAGGACGATTCCTTCATATTTTGTGTGATGTGGTAGACTTGGTTAATATGCTGTTTTTGGCCGCTATTTACTTTGAAACTCCTGTGTGTGTCATTTTTACTATGATGTGAAAATATATATTATAATACATTATACATATACACAGTGAATAATATTTATTTTGTTTTTGTGGTTTGAGTTCCAAAGGGAACCGAATTCCAAGATAATGTACCAGCTTAAAAGGTTAATGGTTTATATTTGTATTCGTAAAAAAAATCAAATCACAGCAAATCAAAATATTAAGTTTAAAGATCACCAAATAAAATAAATAAATTCCAGCCAAGTTTTGAAATTTGGAGTTAGGTTTACAATTTGAGGTTACGTGAAGGGTCGACTTGAGGTTAGTGTTACCATTTGGGGTAAGTAATTCGGGCATTCTAGGTCTCACCCTGTTTGGGGTTGTGCGATTCTAGACCATTAGAAGCACTAGATACCTGTGATCCCGGTAACTCTGCACCAGACTATCTCCTTTACTGGTGTTTATACATCAATGTTTAATGAATTGATTCTTAATCTTACCCACACATCATTGGCTAATGCTGCCTTTTTTTTTTTTTTTTCCTTTTTCTATGTTTTTTAACCACGCCCTTGGTTACTAGGGATGCCTTGAAGATTTATTTACAAGTATATGACACATTAACTGCAACAGGTACGATCAACTGCGAGATCTTGCTACAGAATGTTTGCAAAAACTTGGCCTGAACGTTCCCGGCGCTTGTTTTTATCCTTTGATACTGTTGTTCAAAGGGTAGGTTCTTTTCTTTTATAAAACTTCATGCACACACAAAAGTCCTCTCATATCATTATGGGGTGATGGACTAAGGTGATCATGTTTGTACAGATCATTAACGATGAGGGGGGTGGTGTGCACAGACGACATGCCTCTCCTTTTCATGAGAGGAGTTCACAAATGTCCTTTACCCCTCAGGCTTCTGCTCCAAATGTACCTGGATATGGGACTTCTGCTATAGTTGCTATGGACAGAAGCACAAGTTTATCTTCTGGTACATCTCTTTCCTCTGGGCTACTTTTGTCTCAAGCAAAGTCAGTTGATAAAGGTACAGAACGTACCCTGGAAAGTGTGCTGCATGCAAGCAAACAAAAGGTTACAGCTATTGAAAGCATGCTTAGAGGTTTGAATATATCTGAGAAAAGCCGATCATCTAGTTGGGATTTAGGTATTTTTACTGTCCTACCCGAAAACTTTTTCACCATGAGTCAATTTGATTTTTTAGTCTTTGAAGTCAATTTTAATTGCAATGATGAAATAATGATTGATTTCTTAACAAGTTAAACTTGGAAGCTATCTCCTGGATCTTTCATGAACAGCTAATTTTTTCTGTTATTGCCCCTAGTGCAGGAGTTGACCACCCATCATCTCGTGATCCACCCTTCCCTCTTGCTGTTCCTGCTTCCAGTAATCTCACAAGCTCTTTATCGCTAGATACAACAACCTCTAGTGTGTCAAAAGGTAAGAGCTATAATGCTGGCCTGATTTTGTCTGATATCATCCCTCAGATTCAGGCTTCCAAAGACGTTGGTAAGTTATCATATCGGTGTAATGTGGGGGCCGAGCCTTTGTTGACACATCCATCGTACTCAGCCAAGAGAGCTGGAAAACTACACGAAAGAGGTTCTATTGAAGAGAACACTGATGGTAGGGAGGCTAGGCGATCTATGACATTGCATATGGATGGACAATACTTAGACCCCTCTTATAAATATGCAAATTATAGGGATTCACAGAATAATTACATTCCTAATTTTCAGCGACCTCTTTCGAGAAAGAATGTAGTTGGACGAATGTCAGCAAGCAAAACGAGCTTTGATGATAGCCACCTATCCCCAGGCGATATGTCAATCCATGTGGGTGGTCCAACTTCTCTCTATGATGCTCTGAGTGTGGGGTTCAGTCCTAGTTTAGACTGGAATGCAAGAGTTGCTGCATTTAATTACCTCCGCACTTTGCTACAGCAAGGCCCAAAAGGTACACAAGAAGTCACGCAGAGTTTTGAGAAGGTTATGAAGTTATTTTTCCAGCATTTGGATGATCCCCACCATAAGGTTGCACAGGCCGCGCTATTGACACTTGCTGACATTATCCCAGCTTGTCGAAAGCCCTTTGAAAGTTACATGGAGAGGATTTTACCCCACGTTTTCTTGCGCTTGATTGATTCGAAGGAATTAGTAAGGCAACCTTGCTCAGCAACTCTGGAAATTGTTGGCAGAACCTATGGGATAGAGTCTCTTTTGCCAGCTTTGCTTCGTTCTCTTGATGAGCAGCGGTCGCCAAAGGCAAAATTGGCTGTTATTGAATTTGCTATTGGTTCCTTTAACAAGCATGCGCTTAACCCTGAAGCCTTTGGTAGCAGTGGTATCTTAAAGTTATGGCTTGCTAAATTGACACCGTTGGTCCACGATAAGAATACAAAACTTAAAGAGGCAGCTATTAGGTGCATCATATCGGTTTACTCCCACTTTGATCCAACAGCAGTTCTGAATTTTATTCTTAGTTTATCAGTTGGAGAACAAAGTTCCCTGAGACGAGCCCTTAAGCAGTATACCCCCCGTATCGAAGTGGATTTGCTGAATTTTCTGCAGAACAAAAAAGAGCGTCAGCGCTCCAAGTCATTTTATGATCTGTCTGATGATGTTCGAACATCCTTGGAAGAAGGATATGTTGGAGTGTTAAAGAAAAATCACTTATTTGGAAGGTACTCTGGCGGTTCGATCGATAGCAATGGTGGCAGGAAGTGCAATTCTGCACAGGAATTAACACAGATGTCGGGGTTTACTGGTCAAGCACCAGCTAATGAAATTCAGGAGCAGTTGTATCAGGGTCTTGAGACTGGTTCTGATACTGAGGTACTTACTTACAAAACCCAGGATCTGAAGTATGTGGCAACTACATTAAATGAACCTTTGGGATCATTGACTACAAGGCTAGAAAATACGAACAGCCATGCAAACGTGGAGGCTTCATCCGCACCACGTCTCAATATCAACGGTCTGATTAGTTCTGATCACCAACGTGTTACCGCCAGCTTTATTCTTGATAATGAGGCTGCACCAGAATTGAAACTTAATCATTCCAAATTTACAGCTTCAAAGATCAACTCTGCTCCTGATGCAGGGCCAAGTATTCCACAAATTTTTCATTTGGTAAGTTCATTGCCTCCTTCCTCCCCCACCCCCACCCCCTTCTTCTCTTCCCTTCCTCTTTTAGTAAGCAACATTTCCTTCAAGCCTCATTTATTTTGTGTAGAGATATGTGTTGAGCAATTGTTTTTCACTTCATTTTGTATGAGAAAGATGGAATAACAAGCCAAGTCATGGGGGTTTCTCCCCGCTTTCTTTCTTGTTTTTCTTTGGGTAGATTTGCAATGGCGATGATGAAAGTTCTACCGCAAACAAACAGGGTGCACTTCAGCAGTTAGTTGAGGCTTCTTTGGCTAATGATCAATCCATTTGGACCAAAGTATGATCAGTTTTTTTATTCCAGTCTCCCCTCCCTCCTCCTTCCCTTTCTGAGCAGGGCTACTATTCTTGAGCTTGTATGGAATAGTTGCCCCTCATGCTGAATGTGTTCATGACCTGCTGCATCACTTCAAATGATTTCTTAGCATTAAAAGACTCCTTTAGGGTTTTTGGATCAGTAACCAATGTAGGCAACGTTCTACTTGTGGATGCAATTGGTTTATTGAATGATGAGAAGAACAATTTGTTTGTTGGATGTGGATTTGACTTGATTCTGTAGTGTGGCAAAATTTTCTTAAAATTTTAATTCTGATTATATGAGTACTGGATGAAGGATAGACATGGGTTTGATCAAACAATGACGCATGCCGTAACATTTTTTCATCTCATGTTTTCCACTTTTCTTAGATATCAATTTTTTGCACTAAATGGCGTTAGAAAAGTTACTATTGAAAATTTGAGCATTTCTCTGCCTTGAAATTAGGTGGGTTGTAGCTGGACATAGTTATTTTAATAAGAAGAGAAAAGCATCATTTGTTTTGCAAGGATACAACTGAATTTTGATACAAAAATCACCTTGTATTAATTATCCCATTAATACACAACCAGCCATGGCTAAAATATGAAGTTGTTCTGCAGAAAGTTGCATGTTGCTACAGCTACCGGTCGGTGGTTTGACTCATGCACCCAGTCTGTAAGATGTTTAATTATCTTGATGTGGTCTAGTTCCTGTTCTGGGAATGCTCTGGTGTATGGTGGTCGGGCCTGATTGCCTATTGTAGGTAGGTGAAGAGACTCTTTTAGATCCTTGTCTGTTGTTGCACTGAGAATTCTCCACCAGTTCACGATCTTAGAGCTTGTATGTGTCCATAGGGGGATGGATTAGGGCGCCTGATTTATACAAATGACGTTTTATTTATCGTAATATCATAAGCACAACTAACCTACAGCGATTCTTGAATAATGTGCAAAAATTCAGGTACTTGGATAATGTGCATAAATAAAGGTAAATAGATGATGATAATTCTCATTGCAGTATTACAGTTTCAATTTCAACTCCTTCCGGGAATCTGAGCAAATATTGAATTGCTTTACATAGGTTAAAATACGGCTTTATCCTTTAATGCATTCATTTTCATAGTAATAACATGGTTTTAGCTTAAAAGAATTTTTCATTTTACATATGATATTTGGTATATTTGCAGTACTTCAATCAGATTTTGACGGTTGTACTTGAGCTGCTGGATGATCCTGATTCATCAATCCGAGAACTTGCCCTTTCTTTGATAATTGGAATGCTGAAGAATCAGGTTTGTTTTTCATTGTTTCTGTGGTTTGCTTAGCGAGACATGCCTCTATGCTTTTTTACATTTGTACCAGTGGGCCTTTGGTCCAATGGTACTCCTTGTCTTGTAAAGGTTTTACCTTGTTGAGGTCAAGGGCTCGAGTCCCCCTTCTCCCTCTCCCCCCCACCCCCCCCCCCCCCCCCCCACCACCAAAA